CTAACTATCTTTTTACTCAAGTGTGTGTCTTCATCACTTTGTAGTAATCCTAGGCGGACATTTCTTCATTCTCGTAGGGCACTGTCACATTGCTTTATATCCTATTTGATAGTGTCATGAATGTTCTTTCGTACACATGTGTTTCAATGTTGTAAAACTTAAATGTTTATGTTACCATTGAAATTTAATGAACTATCATGTTTTTGAAATCACAAGCGTGAAGATAACTTTGGCAATCTTGTCACGTGTGGTTAATGTGAATCTGTATTACATACAGCTAACACACTGAAATGTGTTTAACTCTCGGGAGGCTAAGGCGGAGACTGATCCCGGAGAGTAAATCCATGAGATTTGTTATTTGATTCGCCCCAGAACTATTGTTAGCATTCTGGGCGCGTCGATTGTTCCAAGCATAGATTCCAGAACTGGTTCTGTCTGACTGATTGTCATTTTGAGTCTGTACGAGAGATGGCACCTGACGTAGAAGACTTGACTATCATTACAGGACTCGTGTAGAGGAAGGCAGAAGATGTAACAGTTGGAATGTGAGACATAAGCCCTTCCAAATTGGACAGGAGTGAATGTGAACATGAGGGAGAGATGAAATGTTTTATTTAAATAAACATGTTTGATATTATAATATACATGCTTAGTGTACATCTAGAGCAGATACTACAAAAATGCGCGTGTTTCTTTATCACAGTTCCTACATTGGGCAGGGACTAGTAGGCATCCATTATTTGACGACCGTCTGAGTGTGACGACCTGCTGAAAGCAGTGAGGACGACAAACTGGAAAAGATAGGCAGGGTCTCAAGCCGAGAACTGTCCAAAGGTTGTTACTTTCCAATACCTTTATGATTTCATTATTCACATCATTTCAACTCTACTAGCCTAAACAAGTTCATTTTAATTTCGATTTATTCAAATAAATCATGTTTGATGTTGTTACAACATAGTTGAGTAAATTGTGAACTTAGGTTCAAGTGTCTTTGTGCATATTAGTTTACTTCAGCTAACAAATATTTAAATCACTTGATGGGGGCTTTTAAATAATGCCAGGAGAGGAGAATAGTCGAAGGGGTTAACTGTGTATCGAGATAATATCACATTGGGTGTATCCTGATATCTATCTATCCCTTCTCCTACTCCTGTGGATACAAGTACAGCAACATTCATTTCATGGAACGAGCCACTCGCTGTTTTATTGGCTATCCAGGACTGTCTAGGATCAACATAGCTTAGATAATAGTCCAGTTTCTCACGCGGGTGGGCATTGTTAAGGATCAAACCCACACCCTCACTATATCAGTGTATTTACCCACGTGGGCGCGCGAAAAGAAGAAGAAGAAGAAGAAGAAGAAGAAGAAGAAGAAGAAGAAGAAGAAGAAAAAGAAGAAGAAGAAGAAGAAGAAGAAGAAGAAGAAGAAGAAGAAGAAGAAGTAGAAGAAGAAGAAGGAATAGAAGAAGAAGGAGGAAAAGAAGAAGAAGAAGAAGAAGAAGAAGAAGAAGAAGAAGAACGAAAAGAAGAAGAAAAAGGAATAGAAGAAGAAGGAGGAAAAGAAGAAGAAGAAGAAGAAGAAGAAGAGGAACGAATAGAAGAAGAAGAAGGAATAGAAGAAAAAGGAAGAAAAGAAGAAGAAGAAGAAGAAGAAAGAAGAAGAAGAAGAAGAAGAAGAAGAAGAAGAAGAAGAAGAAGAAGAAGAAGAAGAAGAAGAAGAAGAAGAAGAAGAAGAAGAAGAAGAAGAAGAAGAAGAAGAAGAAGAAGAAGAAGAAGAAGAAGAAGAAGAAGAAGAAGAAGAAGAAGAAGAAGAAGAAGAAGAAGAAGAAGAAGAAGAAGAAGAAGAAGAAGAAGAAGAACGAATAGAAGAAGAAGAAGGAATAGAAGAAGAAGGAAGAAAAGAAGAAGAAAGGAAAAGAAGAAGAAGAAGAAGAAGAAGAAGAAGAAGAAGAAGAAGAAGAAGAAGAAGAAGAAGAAGAAGAAGAAGAAGAAGAAGAAGAAGAAGAAGAAGAAGAAGAAGAAGAAGAAGAAGAAGAAAAGTTAAAAAAAAAATAAAAAAGGAAAGATTGAAAGAAATAAGTGGACTAGAAAGAGGACAGTAATGCTTGTTCTTTAGTTTAGGATAGTGATTCCAAAACTGTGCGCCACGGCTCCCCTGGAAGCCGCGACCTCTTTACAGGGGCGACGTGAAATATCGGAAGATTTTTAATTTCTTGCATTCGAATAGTCATACTTATACTTAGGTTATAGCGCCGTGGACAAATTTTAATAAAAAAAAAAAAAAAAAAACGCTGCGAATAAGAAATTGTTTGGAAACACTGTTTCAGAATTTATACATTCATTTTCAAGACTCCTTGAACATGGTTTTTATTTTATATTTCTCTACCACGTCTTCCATCACATGTTACTGCGCGGTCTAACTGTGTAATACATTCTTTACTTGTTACTTATAAGCAGCTGTTGAAAATATCCATAACTGATGACAATCACTGTCAGGATTATATTGAATTCGCATGTATGTGCACGGAGAGGTTAGCGTGCCTGTTGATCGTGTGAAGCTTTTTAAGCATTACGCAGACATAACGTGGACAGAAAGCTGTTGCGACGGAAAGTATAGGTTTGAAATTTTTATGTGTGCAATATACATTCTAACTGAAAGTCGTAGCGATCTCTGTAAACAACAAAACTGAGAAAACTTTGGTGAAGGCGGTAAGTAAAATATTCGCTAGTAGCACACCTATAAACTATAGGTTTATACTATAGGCCTATACACAAAGGTTCAGAATTGGTGAATTGGTCATTTTTATAGTTTCTAAAATATTAGGGTGTCTCTTTTTACACCATCGACAATTAGGATGTGAAAACGGCTATAGTGGAACATTTCAACCCCATACTGAAAGGTAAAATATGGCGGTTTTCCACCAAAGCCAATAAACTGTGCTACATCTGCGTGGTACACTAGATTGAAAAAAGGACCTGCTTTGTCCCAGTGGCTATAACAAAGCTAATGACAACAATTAGGACTTAACAAAGGACGATCGAGAAGTCGATAAACACACTCCCTTTGTTAGGATAGCTTTTTTGCCGTCCCACACAGTGCACTGACTGTCAGTCAGCTGTCACTGACAGTCATCTAGGGTTGACATCCAAGTTTAACACATCAACGGAATACATTGCACTCTACTTACAGAGTAAACTGTCTTGAAACAAACACAATCAAAACAACACAGCAGGGCGTTTGCTCCCATTCTTCTTATAAGCATCCTCACATAAGTATTAGCTTCCACGTCTGCGGTTGTTTAATGAATATAAACTACACACGTAACAAGGTTCCATCTGTCGAGATCAGTCCCTTTCCTTACTCAGCAATACACTGAAAGCAAATCTAGTCTCATGCAAGAAACACTCACACAATTACCCCCAGGCATTCTTGCTTGGCAATATTTCTCTCTAAGTCACATATTTTATCTGATTACCCTGTTATCATTTCCTTAGATCCGACATCAGCTCCCGGAAATCGCCTAGTCTTTGTTCCGCCTTATCTTATCTTTCTGCCAGGGGTTTCCCTTTTCTACTAATGGTCAGCTAAGAGGAAGGGGAGGAGGAGGAGGAGAAGAAGAAGACGAAGAATAAGAAAGGAAGGAAGGAAGGAAGAAGAAAGGATGAAAGAAGAAAGGCAGAAAGAAGCAGGTTGATGTCAGAATTAACTAATAATGATACACTTGCAAAATATCTATCGGCGAGGATATTGAAGATAACTACTAACATCAACTTTTGTTTACAAAGGCGGCAAATTCATTATGATTATTGCTTTCCAATATTTACAAAATTTAGTATATGCTTCAATTGCCACTTCTTCCAATTTCTCACTTTCAGTATCAATATAATCAGTATCTGTGCATGCATTTCTCATGTTAACGTCACTGATTTTTTTAACAATATTTTTTCTCTTGTCATCGTAATACTAACCAAATAGTACATTATAAACTACTGTCAGAGACCTACTTTCTTATATAATGATTCTGGATCGTCGGGTAGGCCGGATAACCGACTCAGCTACCCTGAAACACTCTTAAGACAGACACCTACGGAATACACACAAATCTTTATTTAACAAAGAGCAAGTGAACCTAAATCAAGCCTCAACGGCTATGGGCGATACCTAATCAGATCAGCCGGATGTGGTAGCTTCTACATTCACCGGCCCACACCATCTACCCAAGGACTCAGTTCCACATCACTGTCGTTCAGCGCTAACTAAGCTACCGTCCTCGCTGCGCGGGATTGAGTGGCACACGCAGGGTGAGTGACCCAAGTTTGTGTGGGCAGTGTTAACGTCACCAACAATGCATGCCAACACTAACTACTTGCTTAATAGACTCTGTGTGAAAGCTTCTACTTCACAAGTAAAGCTACACATGAATAATCTTGTCACAGCACCGTATGGAAATCCATCATTACTAAAGCCTAACCACAAACACTATCCTTTGCTAATCGTCACTAATATAAGATACGTTAACAGTCGCTGTCTAACAAAATGTCCTGTCCAAGCATCCTACACTAAGTATCCTGAACAACCTCTGTTCGAGACTGTTGTTGCTCTAAGGGTTTAGTTGTGACAACCTGTCCCTCGTGAGACTCGCCAGGCACAAGGCTCAGTACAACTCACCCGACAGTTTATTTCGTGATTAAACTGTCCGATCTCGTCTTGAGTTCGCCAGAGCGTTACCTCGTACATTCGTGATGATTCACTATTATTACAACATCTCATCCGGTAACCGAACTGTCCTCTGACAACAACATACAGATTACATCCGATTTTTCTATTCCAATCTTTCATTGAAATTCTTTTTTTTTTCGATATTGTATGCCCAAATCTAGTTATAAACCTTTCTGGCATGGATCACGAACACTTACAATTTCTCTTGGATGTCTTCGATTTATCAATCGTTATGTTTCTCATGTCAGTGTCTATTTGTGGAATTTATGTCCTCTTCGGTTAACAATTTTCCCAATATATCGCAAAATACCTGCTTGAAGTGATTAGTTGTTAGTGAGGATAATGCCACAGCTGCCGCCCAAATCAACAGGTGCTCCAATATCTTCCTCAAAAGCACTACTTGTATAAAATGACCGATGACGCCTGGTCTAAGATTATTATGCAAACGCCTTGTCCCCTTGATGAAATGTTCACTCCCATGTCCATCACCCTAGAGAGGAATACGGAGTCACATCGTTTACTGAATTCGTTTTCGCAGTAAGTGCAGCAAGTGACATTGATAACACAACTTCTTTCCATTACCGGACCAACGATAGCAACCGCAGTGTTGTGCGATAATCTGCATGCTCGTTACCTGGAATACCCTCATAACCTGACACACAAATGGTTATACCATCCATTCATAAACTGCTTAGTGTTGCAATAAATTCTTATCTGATGAAGCCAACATTGATCTTCTTATTAGGCATATGCACTGAGTCTGTATGTAAGCGTGTGTGTTCCAGCTATGATAATGCCCTTGTTTCAGCCAGAGGCAACATTCGTCTCTTTAATAATTTTCCCCCTTAAGCTCCCTGTGAAGACCCACTCTCATCGCGTGCCCCGAATTACTGATCGGTTTGTGTAATAATATACAGCATCACATTCATCATTAACCCATAACAGTTGGATTCAGTTTTAAGCAAATACCCAAATTCATCAAATTTAATATTTATAAGTAAATTCTATTGTTTACATTTATTTTCAGCTTTGTGTATTTGACAAGTCAACTGATAGAATCTAGACTGGCGATCTGGTGCTTTAGAGAAACATGTATCATTGGTGGATCAAACTACACGTTAACACGACTTCGTCGTTTCCTTCACTATTGACATGATTTGCTGCACATTATGTGAATGTCTCCTCGTATGACCATATTGGACAGATATGGCTGGTCTTAGGCAGTAATGTATAATATTTCCATATATATGTATATATATATAATATATATATATATATATATATATATATATATATATATATATATATATATATATATATAGGTAGTGCAACGCAGGATAGACAACTTTGATATTGGTGCTGCTTGGCAGATAAAAACTAAGAGTCAAGTATCATAAGCCAATCGCGACACTGGCATTACACAATGAACGTAAAGATAACCACACCACAATACAAATAATCAGACTTATTGTATATCTCTGTCAAATCGCCTGCAGCTGGGATCGAACCCAGTACCCTGGTATTACTAGGTGCGTTCGCAACGCATAAGCAACACACGTCGACCAGTCTTAACAAAGCATGTAGCCTTACCGAAGAATCCAACCTGGATCTCACGAAAGAAAGCTTGACTTTCTTAATGGTTCGACCAGCTGTTACTCAGATTGATGTGTAATGTACATATTCAATAATTTGGGAAGGTGTTACATAAACCAAGTAATTAATGGTTATCAGAGTAATTTTTGTGTTTTGTTTTTATTTCTGCAGATGCGATAAACTTCAGTACAACCACAGCTTGCCAAGTGCATCTGTTATCATTCCGTTCTACGATGAGTGGCTGTCGGTGTTACTGAGAACCGTATACAGCATCATTAACAGATCACCGAGACATCTGATCAAGGAGATCATTCTAGTCGACGACGCCAGCACTTTAGGTACGCACTGTAGCCACACGTTTTGTTTATTTGGTCCTAATTTTTACAGTAGAACAACAGAAGTAATGACATTTAAAAAAATGGAACCTCTGAAATGCAACATTAAAAGAAATGGAACAATACTCAAGCAAAATAATTTGTTTTAGTACTTTGATAACGCAAGATAGAAGAAGTATTCAAGAAGTTATGTAGAATAGCTCAAGCAAATTTAGCATTTTACAAAACCGCGATCTACAGAAGTGAAAAAAAAAAAAATCAATGAAAATGTCTTGAAAGAAACTGACCCCCGAAGAGAACAGATTGTCCATGTTAGAAAGAGACGATATCCATTCATTGGTCAAGTCATGAGAAGATGAAAACAGGAGCACATCGTGTCATTGGGAAAGTTTGAGGGAATGAGAGGGAAAGGGAGACAGAGAGATAGTTTGACATCATGGCATGGACTTTAGGAAGAAAACGTTTTCCATATTTATGTCTTTTGAGATGATATTGATGTACATTCAAACATTTTTCAACAACAGTAATTTATTTTCAATAGTCACTAAAAAAAAAAAAAATAATAATTCCAGTAATTACTCTAACCAAATTCCCCGGGTGGGTTCCGGGGCTCAGTTTTTGAAGGTAGGGGTTTGGGGAGAATACATCCACTGAGGTATAACGAGTAGGCGTACAAGGCAACTAGTTATGATTTTGCTGAATCATTTGTGTTGGTCCAAAATACGCAGGTATCGCAGACTAGCTGTAAACCACACAAAACAATGTGTTAGCAATCCGTTTAAGGACGAACGGAATAGAGGATGAAGTAACTTATTTAATAAACTATTTTAGTGCAAGATACAATTATGAAAACTTCTTATCAGATATCAGACAAGAAGAAAAAACAGACAAGTATAACACACAAGGCAATAAGTTAACTGTTAAATGCACTTATAGTCAGTCAGTCATAGGCGTGGAACAGAAGGCTATAACCTTATGAATCTCTATATAAAACTTGCTCCTTTTAAAAGTTTATTTATAGTGTGTAACAATTTTCAGAAGCCCATAAGGGTTTCAGACGTAAAAGAAGCTGTACATACGCAATATTTACATTAGGACAGTTGGCAGAAAGAGCATTGGAGTATGATAAGACATGCAAAGTCGCATTTATAGATCAGGAAAAAGCACACGACAGGGTGGGTAGGAATATGTTGTGGAATTGCTTAAGATGATATGAAATCAACAAGCATCTAAATAAAGTGTATAAGAGCTGATATTCATCAAGTAAAAGTTGCATCGAACTTCTTCTTCTTCTTTTTTTTTTTTTTTGCTTCTTCTTCTTTTTTTTAGCTTCTTCTTCTTCTTCTTCTTCTTCTTCTCTTCTTCTTCTTCTTCTTCTTCTTCTTCTTCTTCTTCTTCTTCTTCTTCTTCTTCTTCTTCTTCTTCTTCTTCTTCTTCTTCTTCTTCTTCTTCTTCTTTTTGCTTCTTCTTCTTCTTCTTTTTGCTTCTTCTTCTTCTTCTTCTTCTTCTTTCTTCTTCTTCTTCTTCTTTCTTCTTCTTCTTCTTCTTTCTTCTTCTTCTTCTTCTTTCTTCTTCTTCTTCTTCTTTCTTCTTCTTCTTCTTCTTTCTTCTTCTTCTTCTTTTTTCTTCTTCTTCTTCTTCTTCTTCTTCCTCTTCTTCTTCTTCTTCTTCTTCTTCTTCTTCTTCTTCTTCTTCTTCTTCTTCTTCTTCTTCTTCTTCTTTCTTTCTTCTTTCTTCTTCTTCTTTCTTCTTCTTCGTCTCCTCTCCTCCTCCTCTTCTTCTTCTTCTTCTTCTTCTTCTTCTTCTTCTTCTTCTTCTTCTTCTTCTTCTTCTTCTTCTTCTTCTTCTTCTTCTTCTTCTTCTTCTTTATCTTTATCTTTATCTTCTTCTTCTTCTTCTTCTTCTTCTTCTTTCTTCTTCTTCTTCTTCTTCTTCTTCTTCTTCTTCTTCTTCTTCTTCTTCTTCTTCTTCTTCTTCTTCTTCTTCTTCTTCTTCTTCTTCTTCTTCTTCTTCTTCTTCTCATCTCATCTTCTTCTTCTTCTTCTCCTCCTCCTCCTCTTCCTCCTCCTTCTTCTTCTCCTTCTTCTTCTTCCCCTTCTTCTTCTTCGCGTTTGAGTTCGTGTGCTCAGATCCGACCACATATGAACTCGCATGTCAGTACATGGGCGCCCGCAAAAAATTTTCTAGGTGGGGGGGGGGGGGGGGGGGTGGGGGGGGGGGGGGGGGGGGGAGGGGGGAGGGGGGAGGAACAAAATATTTTTAGTAATGTTTTAATGTAGTTTTAATTTACTGTAGCGTATTTGTATGGTGAACGAACGTACAGGACACTAGAAATGAAGGGAATACTGTCGCAACAAATTTCAATATATGTAAATAACATATAACAACATAAATTTAAAATAAAATTTATTCTTTAAACAAGAACTGGAGTCGTCTGTTATCGCTACCAAACACATCTACAATTTTGTCCATAAAGTCTTTTTTGTTGCAGTTCACTTTGTCTCTGTGTACACTTAACATGCAAAATCCAGACAGACGTTCGTCTGATTTTGTTGATCTAAGCCATGTTTTTACAAGCCGTAATGTGCTGAACGATCGCTCCACCGTACATGTTGTTGCTGGTAATGTTAGCAAAACTAGTAAGGCATACCTGACACTCGGATAAAACTTTGTAAAAGGTAACAAGTCGACGAACTCCTGGCTACTTTTGTATTCTCGCGTTTTCCAAAAATCAAACCAACTCAAGGCTTCAGTTTCAAAATTATCAATGAGGTATACCTGATTAACAGCAGACATTATATCATTAAACGGTTGACGATTCAGTTTGCACAATTTCGAAGGATGTAGCAACGCTAAGTTAAATTGTGCACTGTTGGCTTGCACAATCGACTCTCCATTGAGTTAATTAGAGAATCTAAGTATGGAATGTAAACTGTCTGAAGTACTCTTCAACACTTATGGTTCCCGGATTACTTCGATGCTTTTGTCTTCCACACTGTCTTGGGATAATCAGTTCAATATCCACTTTCGGTGCGAGCTGTACTGTTTTCTCAAAACTGTCCCTGAAATAGTTATCGGAATCACCTCGGTAAAGTTTTACTACACTGAGCAGGTTTTGAACTTGCAGTTGGACTTCTGGAAGATCAACTTGAACAGCTTGAAGAGCCTGAGTAACTGGTTCCAGTATGGCAGAGTACTGCGAAATAATATTGAGACAAAATAAAAACGTGCTTGACTTTGATAAACAATATAACTGATGTGCAGCCTGTCGTGTATTTCCACTTGCATGCAATGAAAATGCTTCCAGTTGACAATAAATATCTTCAAATTTACTAGAAAAAATCCGAATACTTTTATACTCGCTTGTCCATCTTGTCTCACACAGAAGAGGAATATTTGGGACAGAGGACCTCCTTTTTTGGCTTTAACGAAAAAAATGTAATAATTGCTTTGATAGCACTAAAAGTTTTCGTTCCCCATAGATTGCTCTGCACATTTTGCTCATGAGACCAGGTGTATTTTCGAAGTTGTACGTAGAGTGGGCAGGTCTACAGAATGTGCTCAGGTGTTTGTGGTCCTGTTTGTTCCTATTTTCTGCATGTGGTTTTTGAGCCTGCAGTGTCCTGTTCGTAGACGGAACATTTTTGTATGTTGCTTTCTGTTGAGTCTGCTGATGGGGTCTTGTGGATGTTTACTGTTAGCATGTTCTCTCCACAATTCCTTGTATTTTTCCTTGATAAATGTTTTGATTTCTGGTAAAGACGGTGCGTTGTTTCTCCTTTGTTTCATTTTATGCAAGTATGTCTGCTAACTAATTTTCTCCTATGCTGCAGCGATCCGATGAAGAACGATTTGATTGTTTTTTGTGAGTTTAAATAGCTGGCGGGTCAGTTCTCTCTTCTTGTCTCATGGATCCCCCTGAGTCGCCTTGAGGAATGACATGTAGTTACAAGGAAAACAATTTTGCTGTTTTTAATTTTCTTTCCTGAAGGACTTTGGCTTTGCTGCTCTGCTCTGAAGTGTTTTTGAGAGTCTTCCTGAGGCGCATGACGTTTCTACTGTGGTCCTATCTTGCAGCATGATGACCGATCCAGCTCCTCCGATTTTTTTGGGGCCCCATCCAGTGATTTATCGGTGTATACGTATGTCTATTTGGGTTTCGGATAACAGTTGTAGACACGATCATGGGTCTTTGCAGGCAGTACTCGTTCACATTCTTCAGCATTTCTGTCTATGCCTGGAATTTTTGTTGTGACAGTGTATTAAGGCTGTAGGTCTATGCTGCATACCTGGACCATTTCCCATCGTAAAAGATCTTTTAAAAGGATGTCACTGTTTTTTTGTTTTTTTTTTAAGTACAGTTGTGATAGATGGTGAGAGCTTTGTCTTTTTAGTCGGTTTTTAGTTAAGTTATTTACTGTTCTGCACATGGGTTGTTGTTCTTACGTTAAAATTGTTCTGTTAGGGTAAGCACCTTTTCTTTCATTCGAAGACGCAAACTTTGAGGGCCAGAAGTTGTCTTCAGCTTTTGGATTGGTGTGCTTCTCATACCTCCAGTGATGATTTTGGGACCAGTGTTCTGTATTTTGTCGAGTTTGTGTAGGCTTGATTTGGCTGCAGTGGAGTTTGCTCTTATGCCATATTCCAGTTTTGGTCGTGCGTATCCCGGAGTTGTTGATCGTAAGTTGAAATTTCGCTGTTAGGGTCAGTACTTTTTCTTCCCCTTCGAGGGCGCAAGCTTTTGAGGCCATAAGTTGCCTCCAGCTCATGGATTGGCGTGCTTCTCATACCTCTATGGATGATACTGAGACCAGTATTCTATATTTTGTCCAGTTTGTGTAGGTTTGATTTGGCTGCAAGGGAGTATGCTATGCCATATTTTCGTTTTTGTCATACGTATCTTGTGTTTACTTGTCGTACATTTTGGCATCTGCACCCCAGCTTGTTCCAGTAAGTGTCTTCATAAGTCTGAGCCGCAGGGTAGCCTTCCTTTGGGTGTCTTC